TTAGAAACATTGCGTAAGGAAAAATTATATGCCAAATTTAAAACGTGTGAATTTTGGCACGAACAAGTTGGATTCCTCAGTCATGTAGTTACTGCCCAAGGAATTGAAGTAGATCCAATAAAGGTTGAAGCGGTAACTAATTGGAAGACATCGACTAATGCTGGTGAAGTTCAAAGTTTTCTGGGATTGACTGGATACTATCGGAGATTTATAGAAAGATTTTCCAAAATAGCTGGACTAATGGCACAATTGACAAGGAAATGAATAAAGTTTCAATGGACAGATAAATGTGAGCAAAACTTTCAAGAGCTAAAACAATGATTGATTACAGCACGTGAATTAACAATATCTGAAGGTTCAGAAGGATTTGTTACATATAGTGATGCATCCAAACACGGTTTGGGATGTATACTGATGCAGCATGGAAAAGTAATTGCCTATGCGTGAAGACAATTGAAACAACATGAGCAGAACTACCCAACACATGATTTAGAATTGCAGCGGTGGTTCATGCATTAAAAATATGGCGCCATTACTTATATGAAGGGAAGTGTGACATTTACATGGATCATAAGAGTCTCAAATATTTTTTTACACAAAAGGAATTGAATATGAGATAGAGATGATGGTTGGAGCTAGTAAATGATTATGTAATCACTATTCATTGCCATCTTCGTAGGGCTAATGTTGATGCTGATGCTCTAAGCAGAAAGTCGATGGGAGAGTTGGCATCATTACCTACTATTCCAATGGAGTTGATCAAAGACTTGGAAAATTTGCGAATTAAAGTGATTACCACACTAGAACAAGTCACTGCTCATTTAGCAACTTTGATAGTTCGACCCACTCTTACAGATTGGATCATAGAAGCACAAGGTAAAGACCCATTTTTGCAGAAGATCAAGAACGAGATTGGTCCTAGTAAGAGAAAGGATTTTGAAATAGCTTCTGATCAAGCACTAATATTTAAAGGAAAAATTTGTGTACCTAAGGATGAAGTTTTAAGGAAAGAGATATTGGAGGAGGCTCATTGCACCCCGTACACCCCACAACCTGGTGGTACGAAAATGTATCGAGACTTCCGATATACATTTTGGTGGAGGAACGTGAAAAGAAGTATAAGCTCATTTGTCGAAAAATGCGTAGTGTGCCAACAAGTTAGAACAGAACATCAAAGATCAGCAAGATTATTAAATCCATTGGACATACCTGAATGGAAGTGGGAAAATATCGCAATGGACTGTGTGGTAAGATTTCCAAAGTTAGCAAGAGGACACAATGCTATATGGGCAATAGTGGATCATCTAACAAAGTCAGCTCGCGTTCTTTTTGTAAAAATGACGTTTAGTCTAAATCAGTTGGCGCAGTTGTACATTAGAGAGTTGTAAGATTGCATGGTGTCCCTATGTCCATTGTGTCTGATAGGGATCCGAGATTTACGTCAAAGTTTTGGAACAGTTTACAAGAAGCTATGAGAACGAAATTGAATTTCAATACAGCATATTACCCTTAATCTGATGGTCAATTTGAAAGGACCATTCAAACTTTGAAATATATACTAAGGGCCTGTGTTCTGGATCTAGGAGGTAGTTGTGAATCGTATCTACCTTTAGTGGAATTTGCATATAATAATAGTTTCCAAGCAACTATTGGAATGACACCGTATGAAACTCTCTATGGTAGAAGGTGTAGATCACCTGTTCATTGAGATGAAGTTGGAGAAAAGAGAGTTTTGGGACTAGAGATCAATGAAAGAACAGTTGAAGCTATTGATAAGATCCGTACCAGGATAAAGACTGCGCAATATAGACAATTTGATTACAAATATTTACTGAATAACTGGATTGCCACAATGGTCATCTACATAGAATTTCATATAGGCAACCCATGTTCGAATTACCATGTAGATGTTTTTATAAAAATTTTACATGAATTATTTTTTATGGCTTAGAGACTCTTCAAATTCTTAGTTAAAAAATCAAATTTAATAAATTAATGATAAAACAACTCCCCCACTTAGTTTTTCATTAAAAAGAAAGGTTACAAGAAGTGGAAGTCACTTTTTCACAACACCCATCTTCTAATCCGAATCTCATCTCATTTTCTCTCAAAAAAATATATTTCATGTCAATTTAAACTAAGAGAATAACAAGGGTGAGAAAAAGAAAGGCTTTCTACACATTTTGTTCTTTGACATCCAAGAAAATTCAAGGTAGGTAGAGGTGCAAGTGTTTACTTCGTTTCAAATTATGATTTTCGATAAATGATTGAATGAAATGGGACCTCCGGGTACAGTGCTTCTGCACTACAACACTTTGAATAATCATTCTACGGCTCTACGTGTTATGATAATGCTATAGTAATTGGATTTTGTTATAAACTCATCTACGTTCGATGATATGAATCTATAGTTTGAAATTTCTAATTTGACAATGAAATGCACTAATGATATCTATTGAGTTTCAAATTTATGTGTTAATTCTCTTCCTACAGGTTGAATAGATTTTTTTTGGGGCATGGATGATGGTAAAAGATGATACGACATGTCATGGAGAAGCCGGTGGTTTAATATCTTTAGTTGATTATGAAATGTTTACGTTTTCTTTAAATTAGATTTCTATGGATGTTTTGTGCGGATCTATTCTACTAACATTCTTTATGAATGAATTTATCTTTGAACATAGACATGTGTCATAGGAATAAATTTACAAACCACTGTTTACAAAAAAAAGTATATGTTAGCGATTTAAAGTTTTGCAGTCTCTTAAAAAAAATTCAAATTTTGCCTCATTTTTAAAAATTAATAACTCCTTCGTTACTTGGTGTTTTTATACAAAACTAGTTGCGTTGGATAGTCTCATAAGTTAGCTATTGAATGAACTTAGAATCATGTCAATCCGATATTGGTAGAATTTTATATGTTGTATAAAGTAAACTGCACTAGGTAGAGTCGTCGTATTCCCAGCTTCTGCCTTGACTTCAAAATTTCCTAACTCGACCGTTACTTGGAATTTCAATGAAACCAATTGGATTTGATAGTTTCATGGATTAACTACTGAATAAATTTAAAATCACGTGGTTTTGATGTCCGTGGAATTTACATGTCATTTTAAGTGAACTGCACCGATTTACCTTTCAACCGGGTCGTTGTTGGGTTTTGAGAAATATTTTAATACCTCATATGATGCCGATGGAAGCGAATTTTTGATTATGTCATATTATAAGGAGTTTACTACTTCATATTAAAATTTGATGAAGTTTCAAGGTCAATAGCTATACGAACAAATTTATTGACACTTACCCTACGAGATAGAAAAGGAAAACAGCTTTGTTTAATTAGTGTTAGCGGGATTTTGGGAAATATTTTAACGCCTTATATGTTACTGACGGAAGCCAAATTTTGAATATGTTATATTATAAGATGGTCCCTATTTTTCCTTAAAATTTTATGAAATTTTGACATTGATAACTATGCAAACAAGTTTATTTTATAATTTTATACTAAACTGCATGTTAGGAAAAATATGGTTCTTAAGGAAATTTTTTTAAAACTAAATGTTTACGTTTCCGTTAAAGGAGTAATTAATTAAATTATTATTTTAAATAATTTCTAAGTCCAATGCTAAGGTACAATGATTTGAGTGACGTTTCCCTCCATGCAAGTCAGGGCGTTACAATTACTCACTGTAAACTCGATATTTTTCAATGTTTAACATTAATAATAGTGAGTAACGTACAATATTTTCTAAAGTTCAGTGGTCAAAATTCAACATTTAAAACTTTAGTGAGCAATTAAAAATATGTACCTAAGTTCAGTGAGCAAAATTCGACATTTTAAATTTCAGTGACCAATTAAAGACATGGACCTAAGTTCAGTTACCATTGGAACAATTAATTCAGTTACCTGAAGTCTAGCAATCATGTGTATAATTGCCTCAGAAAGGATGAGATTGAACCAGTAAATATTGCCCAAAGATACAGTAGAATTGGGAGTTATTCTTAATATCTGGAATTTGTCAGAAGATTTTTGCGCCCGTGATTCGTTTGACTACAATCTGTGAATTCGATTATTAATACGATCTTGCTATGGTCCCATCTTGGAACTAAAACACAAATCAGTGCCGGGGTTCCTTTGTTTTAGGTGTTCATTGATGCTTTGGATGCTTTTCTGTATTGAAATTAGGCAATGGAAACATCGTCTGGGGCATTAGCTATTACGAGGACTTGTGAAGGAAAGTCAATAGTATTATGTTGAATCAGAGCAATCAGGTTCTGATCTTAATTTCAAAAACAGGGTTGTGTGGTTCTGAGCTAGTTTCTTGGTTTGGTTTATGTATTTTTGCCTATTTTGTGTTCTCTGCACAGGGTTATGCTGCCAAGATCTGTTCATAGTATTTCCTACAAAATGAGTTGAGAATGCATAGCGATTTAGATAATGTACAGTGTTTTGATCGTATTACATATCTTACAAAGAATGGATTTTTCGACCTCTAAAGCCCAAATTCAGTTGCGAGTTTTCTATTTGTGAAGCCGCAGAAACAACCATCCAATGATTTATTGCATATCAACTTTCTCGGTTGCTTGTTCGAATTCGTAGTGGAAAATGTGCTTTATCTAGTGATTGACTTGTAATCAATGCAAAGTTGCAAACAATATGATTGTCTTACCCCCATTTTGATAAACTTTCACATGCCTAAGCTAAAAGGCATTCCATTAGTATGTGACAGTTAACATTACATTTTACAGTGGGCCAAAATAATTAAGATTGTGAAAAATTAATCTGGTCTTATCAGTGACCATGGATACGATTCGGTCAGGTCTCAAAATTTTCACGATGAATCCACTTATCGACTAATTCGGTAATGTGTACTCTATTATGCAAATATAATGAAAATTGTTTTCATTGATTGTTGAATCCGGGAATCATATGAAATAGGTTTGGAATGCCGTACTAGACATGATAGTCGACATATATCACACACCTCTTTATGTGCTTGATGCTGTCTAATCCCAGGTACTAGAAATTCTTCGGGGTCTTAAAAATCAAGTCTCCCTTCCCTGCTCTGGAGCCCTATGGAAACAAAGCTAGGGAAGAAGAAAACTAAGAAAATCTGATCTGATCATGTTCAAGAAAGAAAAAACTCTATGACTACCATAAGAAGTAAAAAAAAAGCAACTGTGGGTTGATATTCACATAAACCATTTTGCAGGCACAATTAAATGAAGTTTCACTTTGATCCAAATGACCTCCATTAAATATTAAATTTATGTCATGGAAACATAAAATATGGGGGGTGGGAGAGAGAGAGAGAGAGAGAGTTAAAGAAATGGAAGATGGCTAAATTGATTAAAGGAAAATAGATCCTGGTTGAAGGCCACCATACCATTTTGCAGGCACAATTAAATGAAGTTTCACTTTGATCCAAATGACCTCCATTAAATATTAAATTTATGTCATGGAAACATAAAATATGGGGGGAGAGAGAGAGAGAGAGAGAGAGAGAGAGAGAGAGTTAAAGAAATGGAAGATGGCTAAATTGATTAAAGGAAAATAGATCCTGGTTGAAGGCCTCCACTATACCACTCTCAGGAGTATCATGAATCCAAGGGGCCATATTCTCATGCTCATTCAAAAATGACGTGCGCTGATTAACACAAAATGCAAGACGAGCTCGAGCAAGCATCAGATCATGCTCTAGTTCAACCATCTTCTTCTCCAGAGAAGCTATAGCCCCAATGCAACCATAAATGGGGTCTCTCAGCCTCACCTCAGCCTCATACACAAGCGAATTCACTGTATCCTCACGTTGCTCGTCTGACACCTCATTAAGGATCTTGCTAATGTTGCTGGCTCCGAACACCTTGTGTACTTTGGCGAACTTCTTTGGCTCGTCCTTACGAAAATACGGAGCAAACAGGCAATTTGTGGCGCATCTTCTCTTTAAGGCCTTGCAGGCTGCACAAGAAGATCTTGAACGAGGCACTTGACTCTTCATTACTTTTTCTTAACATGTGTACTTTAAATGTTACTTCATATTTATAGCCTAACGTACAATAATCTGATTAAGAATTATTTTTTTATTATTTTATTTTATTTTATTTTTTTGGATGGGGTGGGGGATTTAATGAAATTTTATGTCGCTTTCTTAAAAAAAAAAAAAACAGCTGTCTATAAACTACAATGATCCATTTTTGGATTGAAACAGACATATGCAAGACATTCGACGAGTTGATTAAGACATGATCTTGATCATAACTTCGACGAACCAAGCGACCATAAAAAAGGTACAGGATAAAAATGTAATTTTTCGGAAAACTATATCGTCTACGAAAATGTGGTCAGCGATCAATAATTTCATATGAAAGACTTGGGGTGAATCTAGCTATATTCTAGACATTCAGATCTTAAGGGGTCGAAAGAACAAGTTGATAACGACTAACGAAAATGAATTACTAAAATATGTCGATAAAAGGTTGCACCAAATGAATGTATGATTAATGAAATTGACAAAAAAGTTGATAAATGTAACACAATAAGTGCAAACAATTGTGTACTATAATACATTAAAACAGATTTGAGATTTTAATCTTTTATCATGAGCCTATAACTTCTATCATACTTTTACACTTCGCCTAAATGCACAGTTTGCATACAAGACTTAAGAGTATCACCATATCCTTCTTGAATCCCAATTTGTTCAACACTGTAATTGATTCAGGCGATGATGATGTGGATCAACCTAGTAATCGGAGGATATCTTTTCACCGGTTCATTTCCTGGACTTGAAAGAGGTTTCCTTCCCATCCTCTCCCTTGTTGAACGTGGAAGTTGATAACATGTTTGCCTATATGCTACCTTATGAATACAATTCAGGTGATGATGACTACATTCCAAACGTCCCACCATCTAATATTATTGTCATTAGTTTTGACAATGAGATGGAAGATAACATTAATGACATGTTAAATATAGATGATGCTTGTGTAGACGAACAATATTTAACATAATCTGTTATGTTCAATATATGTTATATTTTTTAAAGAATGTTGTTCATGTAAACCGGAAAATTATGTGTCCGATTAATTGGCTAGGATTGGTCTAGTTTAATACACAGATGCCATACTGTCAAGAAAGTCAGTTAAAAACTGTCAAGACCTACAATTCAACTGTATAGCCTAAATGCATTGTATTATTTTTGGAAGTCTATGGAATCTCAGATTGCCACTCATGCCTAAAATTAAGCAAACAAAATGGTAAGCATTTTGCACAAATTTAATATATCGGATTTTAAATGCAAATACGATGCACCTATGAATAAATTCTGCCAAATAGTTGCAAACTGGTTAGACTAAGAGTTACAATGTCTATCCCAACATTAAGTAATGTTAAGATTGGCATTTAAGCCCCCAGGGCACTTCTCCACTAGCAAAGGACGGACGCTGTCAAATCTGGCAGAGCAGAGGTCGTGAGTTCGAAACATGGGGCTCTTGGAAGGCAAGAATTTATTCTTGGAAGGCAAGGGAACATTTGGAAGGCAAGGATTTATTCTTGGAAGGCAAGTGGGAACTTGGAAGGCAAGGATTATTCTTGGAAGGCAAGGTGCAACTTGGATTGGCTTGCATGGCACTTTGTCAGACCAGGTGGGGAGCGCTCGGACCCTGGCCAGTTGGAGGCACATCCTGCGATTAACCGGACTGTGTGAAGAGGGGCCGGATCACAGACCCAAGGATTAGTCTAGAATATGACACCTTGTAAAAAGAAAAAAAAAA